CACTGAAACATTCTGATTATAAAATAAATGCGCTAGAAAGATCTTAATAAATCCGACAAAAATATTTAATGGAGCTTTTAATTATTTCTTAACTGAATTGACACAGATATGAGATTACGTAAAAATCTTTCTCAAAGATGCGATGTGTTCTCCATTTAACCAAATCGTTAAACATCATCTCATTAACTCCGATCGTTTCAAGATTTTTTAACACGGCGCATACTATTCAACTGAATCACGTTATTTTTCTTTGACGCCGCTCGCACAACTAACGAGGGAACCGTTCGTTCTCGCGGTTCCATGACTGACGCCGCACGGTCGGAAAAATTGCAATTTATTCTCCTTTGGAATTAAAGCGTCCATTACGACGGAGCTTGGTATCCGCCAGTAAGGCTGGGCCCGGTTACTTCCCTATCCATCGCCTAACGTCGCCGGCACTCTAAAACCCCTTTCCGCTCGGCGCTTCCGTTACCACCTCGTTCGTTTTTTCTTCCCGCGATAAAGTTACGCCGGTGAAAGGAGCGGACGGGGAACCGACTCCGTCGACGCCGGGCGCGATTTGTCAACCGGGGGATTATCCGTTTTCCGCGTTCCTTTAATGAGATAAACAACGGTGGAGGAGAGACGCGCCGTGCAACGCGAGGGAGGAAAGAATAATTTCCACGGCGACACGAGAAGACACGGCGGAAGATTCGTTACTCTTCCCGTGCTTGGCACCTTCTTAATTTATTCACTCGTCCCTCTCGCCGGTAAGGAGTGAATACAACCCGCGTGTTTCGACCTGACTCGTCTCGACGAAGATCTTCCGTATCCGCGATGTTATCACCGACAATGCGAATCACTGTTTGTTGTGGCGTTCTATTTCAAATTTTTCTTGATGCAATATTTTCTTTATTTCTGTCTCCCTTCTTTCTTCCTTCTCTCTCTCTCTCTCTCTCTTTCTCTCCTTTTCGATTTGTGATTCATTTTATTAAACAGAAACTCGTAACAGAATCCGAGAAATTCTGATTCCTGTGGCACTCTGATATACATATCAAGTAATTACGTTTCGTCGCTGACCGAACCGAACCCGCCGAGGCATCCGAATCGACGAGACACGCCGGGACTGAATCGCGATTTCCAAATTCCTCGATAGGTGCATCGATGCATCACTTTTGCACGCGTGGAGCACGAAGTCGGACGGGATAGCACAACAACCGCCGCGCTTCGATACGTATGCAAAGCGAATGCGTTTAACCAACTTCTCGCAGAGAATTTCCATTAGTCAGGGTATAGAGAACGACAGTACCGTTGAGCGGAAACTCACACGGGGACGGAGCGGGCGGACCCGACGCCGACGGGGGAGGGCGATACTGGCTTGTTTTCGAGATACCAAGCCGTCGAATGATTTCGAATCAACGCGTCTGGTAGCGCGTATAATTCAATTTGAATATGTATACGGGGCCTGCGGCGCGAGCGGTCCGCGCGCGCACATACACGTTCCTATCGGAACTCGCGTAATTCCCGCGTGCATATACAGTAGGTTGTACTTCTCTCTTTCCCTCCCTCACTCTCTCTCCCGCTCTCACCCCCATCTCTCTACCTCATGTAATATAGATATTACCGTCAAGAGAATATACCACCCCTTCTCGTCACCCCGCTTTGCCTCGCCTTGCCACGCCACGGCCTTGCGGCGTTTCTTTTTCCATCTATATACCTCGCGCTACCTTATCTATCTACCGCGGGGGCGCGTTCCCGCATTCGTCGGGAATGGATCATCGGTTATCGAGCACGTTTGCCGGGATACTTTAATCTCCCCCGCGCGATAATACACGCTCGCACGTCGAAGATATTTTTATAACGCGGCGACGCGCCTCAAATTTTTTTACCCTCTCGCGCTCGCGCCCCGGGGAAGCTTTCAGGCGGCGTCACGAGGGATTTCTTTACGAGCGGTATGATGCTGATGGCGGCTGCGGAACGACGGGAGGGCGGGACAACCCCTCGTGTCGAACGACCGTTCCCTCTCCCTGACCTAAGAGCGTCTCCGCGAGTAAAGTCCGGAGGGGGTTGGTGAGTTGGTACGACGCGAATGTCGAAGGGCCTGCGCTGAATTTATGCAGATGTATGCCGGCAATATTCTAAATAAGTAGGTAGGTACACCCTCTCCGCAGCCGTCTCTCGCCACGCCGGATCTCTGCCACTGGCGAATCCGACCAACCAAACGCGATCATCCACCGTCGCTTTCGGCTCATTGTAAAATCGCAGCGATAGCGATGGTGACGGCGTCTCTACCGCTGTTCCTTCTCGTGCTGGCGTCTCAGCGGCATCTTCGGCGCAATTAGCGTTTCTTAGCCGCGCTCGCGTTTCTCCGAGTGTCTCGACGACGACGACGACGTCGGTGAAGCTTCTTGCGGCGACCAGAGAGAACAATCGAAGTCCCACTGGGAGAGTCCCCGCAATTCGGCGAACTTGTGAATATTCACGAGGCCCCGCCGGGCGCGTTCGAGGTCTTTCTTGAATTATCTAATCCCAATACAACGACGCGCGCATTCCTTTGTAACATACCAAATATACTCGTCTGAAACTCAGAGATTTTGTTCGCATCCCTCGCTTACGTTTCATCGAACATAAAAATTGAATTCGGTTGATTTGTTATAATGGTTTCCTTTAATGTTTGTTTGGATTTCCTGACATGAGAATAAATGATTGTATCGTTAATTCTAGAATTTATTAATTAACTAAAAAATAAAATTCGCACGTAACTTCCGAAATATTTGATATACTGAATATAAAATAGCTATTTAATGATTGTGTTCTAAAGCTATGGGTTTGTGATAAAAGAAACATTTAGAATTAATTATAAAGTTACGCAGTTATTGTTAAATCTTTCTCTTATCATAAGCTATATTTTTGTGAAAAGACAAACATATATGCTCGATAACAGCAAAATTAAAATATGAAGGTTATACGACCAATGTCGAGAGCAAGGCAATAAATAAGTGTTGGTTTAATATAAATAATAATTTATTAAAGGGCAAGAATAACAATCGTTTACGTTTCGACTTACTTAGTCTTCATTAGAACATGCTGGGCCGAACCGATGAAACACATTAGTTACATTACATTATATTTATTGTAATGTAACTTTATCGGTTTGCTCCAGTGTGTTCTGATGAAAACTAAGTAAGTCAAAACGTAAACGATTGTTATTCTCGCCATTTAATAAATTATTATTATTTATATTAAACCAACACCTATTCGTTATCTTGCTCGGAGATTGGCCTTTCATATTTTATATTTTTGTTTTAAATTACTTTACTGTGCGTACTGTTTAGTTAAGAAAATATTATAAGAGTAATAAAAGAAAAATAATCATTAATTTTATTCTGAAATTACTGATTGTACCATTTACTGGAAGATTTCACTCTTGATTCTATATCAAATAACTTTATTTTCATCGTTGTACAAACGTTATAGCCATTTCTTTAACCCAATCGTTGTTTAGAAACTCATAGACGGTGCACTTAACGGCGTCGAGGGTCGAAGAGGATGAAGGGTAATACCTCGAGCGAATTTCAGCGGTCGAGTGCACTCTTGCCGAGCGATGAGAGGGCAAGGACGACTTTCAATTTACGCAAGAACCACCGCCGTCACGTATGCGCATAGATTAGTAGGTCGCCCTGCGACGTAGACGTAGCGCCCTAATCAGCACTTGGCGTTTTAACGCGGTTAATTGCGCTTCAATTAGCCGGGGGTCGTGCCTCCTCTCATCCCTTCCAACCCGGGCGGGGACTTTCTTGCTACCGCCGTTGCTCGCGCGAGCAACGCGCGGAGGAACTTTCGCGATCGTCGGGCCGTAGCGTGCAATTAGGTGCAAAGTCCCGTGCATTAAGAAGACCGGCAAGAACCGTTAAAAGACATTGCCGGTAGAAGATTAGTCGACGATAACGTCGGAGTTACATTGCCGTTAAAGCAGCGCATTAGCGTAATGCTCGAGTGTGTTATTTTTCCCCCGGAAAAGACGGTATCTCGCTCTCGCTTCTCGTTATGCGTGCACTCCAATCGGCGACTATTACGCGACCGCCCCGAGCGTACGGGAACGAGCGAGCGCGAACAGACTTTTGCCTCGTAAGGTGAGACGTGAGAAAATTATAACGTAATCGTTACGTCGCACGCAACGTTCAAAGTGAAGGAGATCGCGCAACGTAGTCTCGAAATTCGCCTTTTCGTGCCGGCTGGCAGCGGACCCGCGCGTCGCTATCGGCCGCGAAATAAATCACAGAATCAATTCTGATACATACCGGGTGGCGCCATAAATAAAAGTGCGAGGTACCAACCAGAGATACCGCCGCACCGTAGATCGCGGTGTCTGTTACATATAACCTGATTGGAAGGGGGGGAATGGGCGACGGAAACAAATGACAGCGCATAAGCGGGTGGAAACACTCGAAAGTCGGTTGTTGCCGCGACGGCCGACACGGTGGTCGCGCCGAATTTGAAATTCAAAGCGTCCGGAGAAAGCCGGCCGATAACGGTGGGAAAGAGAGGTAGACAGATAGACGGGACGAAGAACGGCCGCGGGACCCACGGCAAAAATACACATTAGTGGATTTGAAATTTAGATACCGGCTAGTCTCCTCCCTCTCACCCTTTAACCCCTTGTGAAATTGACCAGTCCGTGCTCGAAAACAGGCCGATTTGCGGGCGGCGGGAGTTCGCGGTGCCCCTACACGCTGCGCGTGTCTCGAAACGCCTGATTCCGAGTCTGATCGATGTTACGTGCGCGCGTGAGGTCCACTTCTTCTGACCTCGTTCCCCCCCCTTCCAACCACCCCGTTATCGTGCACGGGGGAGTGTATTTTTGCCAACGAGCCGCGTACGGGTCCGCATTCGTTCCACGCTGATCTACGTACGGGTACGTGTGCGCGAGCGCGAGCGGCGCCCTAGATGTTAGCCGGGCGGATAACATCGGGCGTCCCCCGGCGCTCGCCACCTCCGTTACGAGCGTTGTTTGTACTTACTTGTCATGTACGTGATGTAGTGCGAGTCGCTGATGTTTCCTGAAAGAAGCTCGTTGAGTCAAGTCGTACGTAACGTCCCGGCGATGCCTCGCGAGCCCAGGCACGCGGCGCGTGCCGCGCGTCGACGTGTTTGCGTTTACGCGGATACGAACACCATGACATTTCATTTCTTTCGCTGTACTGACCGCCGAACCAACGCAGTTTTCGTTAATCTAATTATATCGTTCGCATCAGACGGCCACGCAGCAGGAATTAATCGCATACATTCGCGCACTGATTAGTTCCCGCGGAAGCACGCACTTAAATTTGTATATAAATGAGATAAATTGGTAGTGTCTCCCATGCTTCTCGTGTTTATCGCCGCAAGTACCTACATGTATCTGATCAAGCTCAATAATGGAGTAAGAAATATACGTGGGAGCTTTCGATATCCCTCTCGAATTTCATCGCCATACTGCGTCGACTTCGAAGCCACGAAGGCATGCCATCGACACGCGACTTGCATCCCTCGATAATACAGTCGCGCTCTCGAGAGCCGTGTCGATCTCCTTCGACTTGGAATATTCGCGTGTGTGAAAACGTCGGGGCATTGCACGAACCTTCGGGAGGCACGAAAAGGGGTCGAGCAGGGGGTGAAAGAAGGATCGGAGGTAGGGGCGTTTGGTGGTTGCGAGTTGGTCGGCAGCTGTCGTGAAAGCTCTCGGAAAACCGTGAAAGCGCGAGATACGTTTTCGCATGCGTTCCTATTCGCGGAATATAACCGTCGATGGCGATCGCGATATTTTTACGCTTGATGTTTAGTATTCATTCTTGTACGGTCGTTACCTCGTGTTCGCGCGAATAAATGAATCGCCAATGGCGCGCTTTAAAATTCAAAGTATCCGCGCTGCGAGAAATTAAAGCGGAAAATTATAATTCTTGCCAAAATTATGCCAAAAAGAAAATCGTAGGTCTACCGTTATTCTTCATCTATAATATTATTAGTTCTGTCAGTCATTCGTAATTATATAATCATATTATATCAAATATATAATTATAAAATGTCTAGAATAGGTAATAGAAATCTCATAATGATTTATTATTAAGAGTTAGCAAATGAAATTTATACTCTCATTCTATCTCTCTCTCTCTTTCTCTACTTATCATTTTATACTTCTCATATCTTTTATCTTGAAACATATAATTTTATGTTTCTTAATTTAAAATATATTAATATATTATAATAATCGTAATATTAATATTGAGAATAGTCTATGATAATATTAATGATGTTTCTATAAATTCAATATCAAAATCCTGTTCGTCTGCCTGTGTCTTAATCTCTTAATCGCGTTACAAAATTTAACTGCTTTTCAGCCAGCCAGACGCCACGAGTAGGTATGTAATAATTTCAAAGACGTGTGTAATCCCACATTCTGCAACAACACTTTTCGTAATAACGCAAATGCGTTCCTTCATGCGTGAAGCTTCTCGCAGACAAACAGGCGGATGCATCCCGAGATACGCAAGCGCGATGTCGCCATTTCGGCGCGCACGTCAACCAAACCGCTGTTATTCCATTGCGGAGCTCTCGACGCGAGCATACGTCGTCGCGTCGTCTCTCATCGTCGAAGAGATTTCCCCACGAATAGAACGGGATATTAATTTGGCAAGATTGTGCGCGAGGAGGTATCGGCACGCTGCCTCTTCTCTTAGACGGGCCCCCGGTGGATGTAAATTAACTTTGAGAAACAATCTTGTCGTTAACTTAGCGTATAATAACGCGGGCGTGGTATCGCTATACTCATGCCCTTTTGCACCCTTCGCTACCGCTAAGATGCCTTCACCTCCGTGGGAATACGACAGCCCAATCGCTCTCCCCCGCATCGACGTCGAAGATTATTTAGGCGATGTATTTTATCGTGTCTCCCGTTCGTTCGCGACATAACGCTGTTCCCGTCGTAATAATCCTCGGCCATTCTTCTTCCGTTTCATCGCTTGATTCCGGCGTTTATATCTTACGATTATTCACGACAGTCGCGACGGAAGTGACAAGTTACTCGCTCGCGCGTACTTTCCCCGATTTTACGCGCTCGCTTTTACGGCACTCATTGAATTTCCCGCTCTTAATAATCGAGGCAACGACGACTCTCGTTCCCGGTAAGGAGACATTATGCCCCGTTTTATATTCGCGAGACGTAAATAAGTTTGCGCAAGGGGGCGGGCGGAATTATGCGCCTGAGTAATGTCAGTGTATCGGCGACGGGGCTCCCATAACCGTATTGCGCGAGATTATTTTCCCGATCATAAAAAGTTACGTGTTACAGGCCTTACACGCTCGTGCGACAGGCACGGGATGTGAGACACGAAAATTGCCACGCCGTCGCTATGGGAGCTGGGAGGCTTTTATGATGGGAATCAGGAGCTCCAAAGCGACTCCGGCTGATGAACCCGGGCATCGTTTTTTTTTCCATCTCATCCAAGTAGTTCTTTTTAATACGGTATATTGTACATGTACACGGACGTTACATTTATTATGTTAATCTGATGGAAATTAAATCCGACTCGGTTAATTTATGATAAATAGTTTACATGTTCACAATTTTTCAAACGTGCGTTTCTTTCCGCTAAGGGGTAACGTCTCAAAGATCGAGTATACGGTATTCAAGCGAAACTGAGCAAACAGTGGAATTTACCGCCGAGCAAAAATTCGAAACGACCGAGTATAAATGCATTTTATAATTAGTTCCCCTACCGCAGGCTAACGTTGAATTAACGTCAGCTCCCGGCGTTATGACGAAGTTGCCGTGCACGGTAACTTGCGAGCGCGATACGTCACACCGTTGGCAGAGGGAAATCCATGCGGGCCGGCATAATGTGAATCTATAACTCAACTCATGCATCTCGTTATCACGAATTGTCGCGCCGTCTCATCGAACCTCGATGACAAAGGCGTTTCTATGACGTTCACATCATTCCAATTCCATTCGGCAGAAAAAAAATATCGAGCTGGCTCAAAACAAACATTTGATTTTCGCAAACAACAGTTTTAATTCGTTTTATATTCCCGTAATGTTTATTTTGCAGCACAAGCTCCCGACGTTTATCTGATAGGTGTGCCGATCGTAAATGAAGATTGTCTATCTTAATAATCGCGTGTAAATACTCTCTATGACGAAAAATTGGGTCATCCGTGAAAAAATACGCAAAAAGAAGGGAAAACAGAGCTGACGAAAGAAACACATTCGCGCATTTAATTCAATATATATTTAAAATAGGTTCGCCGTTACCGTGGGTCGAGTACGATGCCATGTCGGCATCGTGGCTCGACGATCCGTATATAACTGACCTATTTACGTGGCCGCGGCCACGGCGCCGAGATACGTATCGCGATCACGTGTGTATATGTTAGCTCGATCGTATTTTCGAGTCCGGGATCATGCGAGCTGGTTGCGCGCCCCGCGCACAAAAGCGAGTTTACCACCCGTCGCGAAGGGCAAGAAGGGCGACTCATTTTGAGAAAACGCACGATCGTCAAGTCAATGAAAAAGTCGCGCGTGACTATACTTAAATCGGTAAAGATGAGATAGAATTCGAAGACCGGTTATTAAAATTTCGTGTCCGCGCTGGAGATTCCGGTAATTCTAACACCATCAACGGGATAGCATTCCGTTGCGGATTGACAGATGCGTGCGTATGTGTATATATGGGCACGATTTTTATTATCACTCATTCCGCGCAGTCTCTTCTTCGTTGGCATTCCGGGCTATCAGACCGCGCATTCACGCCGTCGAATTCCTACGGAACTGCTTCGACGGGAAGGGATATCTATCTTAATGGAAGCAAGACGTCGCCGTCGCTCGTGCCGGCGCGGGAGCTCAATATGAACGGCGAGGGAAGGAATTTTATGGCGCATCAGACTCGACACTCGCTAAATCGCGGCTTATTGCGATATTATACGCGGAACGTGCGCGAATAGTTCGTGCCGTCGACGTAAAATGAATCGTTTCGCTCAATTTTTACCATTACGAAACCTCATTCAGTTAACTTTAAACATTTAATACTATTCGAATCACATTTATTCGGTAATTTGCAGGAAACGAAAAATGATGTGTGAAAATTGTGCAAAATGTTTAAACGATTGGAATCTCAAAGGCGCAATGAGCTACTTAAATTAATTCGGCAATGTCAGCGATTGTGCTACTGTCACGCGATCAATTTTAATGACCGACATTATATGATTTCGCGTGAGTAGTTTGTATCGGTTTCTCACGGGGCTAGTGATGTACGACGATGGCGAGCGCGGCGAGACCACGAGGCACTGGCGGCGCAAATTTGCCTATTGCGTTCAATACTTCTTAAACTACATGGTAGTTCTCACTGGTAGTTTAGGCTATTCACTAATCCCAGTAGCCCCAGGGGTCTAAAGTATCACGGTATAGATACAATTGACGCTCTGCTTCGCGCTTACACGGACTGTAAAATTATTCTACAGATAAAACTAAAAATTTTATTTAATTTATAAAATCATGGATTATATATAAAATATCTGGAAATCGATACAATCTTTTTCCTACTTTGTGGAAGTAATTTGCAATAACATATATCATTTGCAATAATATACCATTTTAATAAAAAATAAAATATGCATTTGCGCGAATGAACAATGAATATAAAATGGTTTGATCAGAGCAGTTAATTAAAGCATCTCCCTGATTCCGACTACATCTTCCCTCGTTTGCATTTTCCAATCGAGTAGTTAACTAATCGTCGTTTAGCGACATACGTAATAACTAATAAGTGGAAAATTGGTCGTATCTAACTGCGATATAGTTATAACATTATCAGCGGAACTGGGTAACGCGCAGTGGTATATACGACGTGGCACGTATTTCCTTCGCTTCTCCCCTTAATTTCATTGGCAATATTCAGATCTTCGCGAGTTCCTGAAATCCCATCTATCCTATATACCATCCTCCACCCTATCCCTCTTTCTCGCTCTCTCTCGCAATTGCTGTGTCGAAGTTTCAAATTAATTGACGTTAAACCTGCTTCGTGGC